TGACAAGTTGCTGCAGTTATTTTTTTTTTTGTCGAGTGTAATATTAATTTTTGGTTGCTGGGCCCATTTTGTGCTCATGGTATGCTATCATGGTATTACAATGTGTGTAAAGTTTTAAATATCCTCTCAACAATGCCTACAGGGGTCCTTGAAGGGAATGAATAAATAAACATTTTTATGTCACTGAAGTTTGTTTTCGGATGAACCACTTGTTCAGAAGAGGCAGAAGGAGTGCAGCCCCATGCAACAGGTCTGCCAGTTTGGTTTTTCCCATTTAAAAATATTGGGGGTCAGAGATGCAGGTTCCCTCAAAAGCTCCACCGCATGCAGTGAACACAATTCTTTGGTGCGTAGACTCTGAAGGCGTAAAGGCTGGAATGTGAATATGATGCATACACGGTTAGTACATCGAATATGTTTAGTTCCACTTGATTACATAATTATTGATTCTTATCAAACGGGTTCGTAACAAGTTCTTTCTGAGGCAGTATCGTTTCAGGCGTTCAGTCGTAGCATCTTTGCTCCTTCTCGGTTGACGGTCCTGGTACGTTAGTGTTCAGTTTGGTCGGGTGGCGACTTTGACTGATGACACCTTGTGATCATACGTCATGTGCCGCCGCTGACTTTTGATGCACTGAAGCTGAAGGGCTGGCTTTTAATCTGCAAATCTTTCTGGCAGTTTTCTGCGTCAATGAGGGAAGTTCAAGCATGAATTCCTTAAGTGGCCCTGCCTTTTAATGTACCGATGACGTGATGGCTAGCAACAATATTTGTTTGCTATCTAATCCACTTCACTTACATTCCGCTACTGGCGATTTCTCCTGCATGCCGGGATCACTGAAACTTGTGTAGGTCTCATGTGGCAAAGTGCAGTCGGGTGATGCTTCGTGTTCAATTTGTGAGAACAACCAACCGTTCTATTTCTTGAAGCCCCTCAGCAGCACTCTTCCTCAGAGTTTGAAGTTTTTTGCTTCGTGGAGTGGACACGAATAATTGATGTCGGAATATTATTATTGCCTTTCGACGACGACCGACACTAAATCAACTGTCATGGCATTGCTGTTTACCTGCTTTGTCCTGCTTAGTTTAGTGTAGTAGCATGTGTCGTGCTTACCTCCCGTCAAGGTGATAGGGATCAAAAGCTTTAGGGTAGTGTCGGCGCCAGGGACAGAGGCTGCCGAAGATTCTCCTCAATGCCCCGCGGACGCTCCTCGAGACGTGGTCAAGGGTTGTTTCGCACGAACCCTCGCAAGCCCAGAGATTGATACAGGCACCCCCGGTGGACATGGACGGCCTCACGTAGTGGTAGCAGAGTGGTATAGTCGGTCGGTCATTCGCAACACCTCCATCTTCCTCGGTGTACTTTGTTCAGTGCGGACCTACACTCGTTCTTCCCGACGTCACGAGTACTGCGGCTTTGGGGTGTCCCGTTGAATTGTTATGCTAATGGACAGCAGGTGGCGGTCGTTGTGCCGTTGTGGCTAAGTCACCCTCGGTTCATCAGATGCCTCTTCGCTCGCACAAGTCTCTTGTTGAAATGCCTGTTGAATCTCTTCTCGAACGATATTAGTGATCTCAATAGAAGCCGGGCGACTGATGGCAGGAAGTAGCTTCCTGATGTCCTCCTGGATATCATTGTGTATGATTTCGCGGATGTCTGAGAGGCTAGCGTCGAAGTCGCAGCTTGACGACTCGAGGGTCGAGAGGCTGGGGAGTTGCTGATAGTGACGGGCTCGGGCATGCAGTGCACGTCCAATCTTTGAGGCCTGGTTGATGAAAGCTTTGACTGTTGTCGGAGCGTTGCGGACAGAGGTGCTGAAAAGGTTGCCCCTCACATGAGAGACATGAGGATTCTCAGCATCTTTTCTTCTGCAACAGGAGGGCACGCGCGGGCGCTCAATCAGGTGCAGAAAGTCCTCCACGATGGCACTGTTGCCCTCGTTGGGGCGCTGTCCTCGACTGAATGAAGTATTTGGCCCTCTCTCGTCGATGATGTCTGAAAAACAAGTGCTTCAGCTCAATCTTGCAAACTTCTCGCGACGCTGAAAGGGATTCCTGGTTTTCAAACCAGTGCCTGCCAGTTTCTTTCCCTAAAAGTATAGGTTCTGCGGCTCCAGGTCGTCTTTCCACCCATTGTGTCGGGTGACATGGTCATATTGTTCAATCCAGTCTTCGACGTCTTCATGTACCTTGTCGTGGAAAGGCGTTAAAGTGCGAGGTGTGACGGGCATGCAAACAATGGTAAGAGCGGACGCGGTGTGCTGCTGCAGGATTGTCATCGTTGGCTTAGCCTGTTCTAGTTTTTCTGGAAGCAGGCCGAATTACCATGGTTCTTTCTGGTAGCAGCGACTGGCTTGGATTTCAGGTTCTTCGTGGTGTATTTACGGGGCTCGCTCGTGTGGGACTTGCTCGTCTTGCGATTTCTCTGTCGGACTTGGGATTGGACTTGGTTCGAGGCTGGCTGTGGGTGTAAGACGTGGTACAGTCCACCACCCTTGTCCTGTTGTCGGACAACTCGGCTGAGGGCCGCCAGGGAGCGCACAAAGTGAAGTGCTAAGTGTAAAATACCCAGCAACTCCAACAGAACATAGGATGACAGCCGATCATGGCCCGGAACTTTCCAGAATAATAAAGATTGCTAGGACTGGACCAAGCATCCATGAAAATATAACAAAACTGCCAGAAGAGAGTTTATACTGACCAGTAAAGAAGCTGCATTGCTTAAGTAGCATTCTGTCCGAATATGTCAACTCCTTCGGGGGTTTTGACGACAGCCGTTGACGAAATGAACTGAAATGAATGTGGGACCACATTTCTGGCAATGAGCAGCTGCAGACTGTCGCCGCGAAGCGGCGTAACCGGGTGCGTTGCGTGTAACACGGGCTCTACTGATACATGCGCGATAAAATGTCCATACAGTTCTAATAGCGAGGTATGATTAAACGTTTGTGTCAACGAAACGTGCGTCATACCAGCGGATTCAACACCAATTGCAACTCCTGTGCTCCGCAAAAGTGCACGTCTACGCCAGAACATTTTTGGAAGCAGCACAGCATCACCTAGCATGGCATGGGAACTACCAGCTCAAAGGCAGCTGTTCGGTGCGCCGAAAACTCGTGCTCCGTGAAAGTGCACGCCCACCCCGCAACAATTTAGGAATCAGCACAGCATCATCTTGCACGGCACGGAAACTACCAGTTCTTCCTTGCGCCGCACAACCAAAGTGAGCCTTCGATCGTTTGAACGAAGCAGCACCGCACTTACACACTGCGAAGCACGACTCACGCAATTTCCATAGCTAAACTGTGTATTCAAATACATTGCACACGCTTCACTGCAGACCAGACATGTACGAGTTACAAGAAAGTAATTAAGTTAAATTACTGAGTATTGACCTCAGAAGTAATTAATATATTCTGAGCATTTGCCAACAATATTGTGAAGATACTTGCCTAATATTCTTGTGCCGCTTGGGATTCATACGGGGAAGGTTCCTTTAAAAAAGGGGGAGCCGTGGGCATCTTCTATTCATCAAGGCAGCAGCCCGTGGTTAGGGACGGCAAGTCAAACGCCTTGCTGGTCATAGCCCGTGGATAAGCACTGCCGCGGCGTCACATGATACTTTATTCTCGTTCTGACGAGGTTGCACAGATCTCTCCACGCTGATAACCCGTGAGGCACTCGTCTTGCTCGTGTTTCTTGCGGAAACCACCACCAACTGGAAATATACCGCCAGCAGCACCTGGGCATCCATCGGCAGCGAACAATACACAGTTGTCGGGCGGCGAAGCGTTGGTACCACAACATCGCAGAGCTTCTGCACGCTAGGCCTCGGTACGCGGTAGTATCACAAACGGCGATGATCAGTGATCATTTCCAGTGTCCGACGAGTCCTAGGCGCCCGCTGCTGCTGTAAGCCTCTTTTTGCGTCGCGCTGTTCTTCAAGCACGAATGCTACGTAGGCAGCCTTTTGGACGAATAGCTGCGAAAAACTTCGTAAGAGGAATTGGGATTCCGTCGTAGATTTTTGTCTTATCACACGCAAAGGTTAAGAACATTTTGCTTTGAGAATAAAGACAACTCCGTAATTTTTGCGTAAGTTATATTTATGAACTTTTTTGTCCTAAGACAACTTTGAGAATCCGTCCTCCATGTTGGAAATAAAACTGAGTACATGATCAATTAAGAGAAGAGAGTGTTCTGCCAATACAATATTACATTTTTCACTAGACATTTTGAGCCCAGTTTTGTGTTTGATAACTGTAGTCCCATGTATTGCTTCCTTTATTCCCAGTTTTGAGTAAATGCAAACTTATGTAGTTACGAAAAAAATCGAGGCTATGCTGATGTGTTATCGGAAAAGAATATTACAAATTAATCATTTTAAATGTTACTGAGCAAGTTCACATTGAGCTCAAATCTAGACCTGCAACTTACTTTCTGGCCACAACTTACCTCTAATAAAAAGCAAATGAAAAAAGTAAATATTACAAATATTTAGGATGCCACGCATAAAAATATTTTGCTATAATATTAGCATGCGGCCTATGGAAGCCTATTAAAGAGTATTTTACGGGATGATATATACACAAAAATTATATCTGACAGCAAGCATTTATTTATTCCTGCATTATGGTACTCTCAATGCCCACGGACCATTGGAGGGAGCGTAGGCAAGTAAACACAACAAAATAGACAAGTATGAGTTAAACGGAGGCACGAGTCTATTACGAAATAACAGTTAGCAACAATAGATTTAAACAAACCTAAGTAGGGTAGTGCTAGTAATGATGCGGGCAGGTAGTTCCGTTCTGACGAAGTTTCAGGTATGGATGAATAAGCTGAGGAACGACAGTGAGGAATGCCACATTTGAAGGCAAGGGTTCGCTTTAACAAGAAATGCGTTCCCTTGCACTGCTAGACATAAATAACTTTTCTTCTTACAGCGTGTTTGGAAATAATGTCCAGGATTTTCAGAGCATTCGAGGAACTCGAAACCGTTACTCCGGCATACGGGGTACAAAACAAAGTCCCTGCATCAACAGATCTGCAAACAGATCCGAACCTACGCTGTAGCTGGCCCCCTCCTCGGGCAGCACGCGGAACGCCTGCAGCAACGTTGTTACGCACAGAAAGATCTGAATCGTAGCCAGGGCCCCTCCGGGACACATTCGTTTTCCTGGAAATGATAAAAGAAAATATTAATGGTGCATTGCACTAAACGCAAGACTAACGTATTTTGTGGTCTATAAGTTGCACAAGTCGTAACCCCATAACTATCATGAACACCGTTGTATAACTACTTTGTACGGTCGGTGGAATTCATGTAGCCGCTTCGTACCATCATCGGTCCCCTCAAGGAGCCACCCGTTGGCGGGTGCCCTCTCTCCTTTGTATCCATTGTAAATACTGCCTACATCTAGCATCGCTAAAGTCAATTATTAAATCTAAAAAACAGTGCTTAATATAAACAAAGGAATTGGTTTTGTCCCCAAAGAAAAGCCGGCTATGTTCCGTATCAATACAAACTAGAGTCCGAGACAAATATTTCTCCCCTTGAGGCGTTTTTGTTTTGTTTTGTTTTTTTATTAAATCATATTGAAAGACAACGCCACTTCGGTAGTATTCGCTTTCCACGCTATATTATTAGGACCTGCTCGAGGATTACTTTACGGGGTCTTTTGATATAAACCGAGGACATGGAACCCTAGACATAAAGTAAAGTCAGGATTGTAGAAACTTTTGTTATATCGATCTAGTCCACGCAGATAAAAAAAAAACAAAAAAAAACGTAATTATTTTGCACAAAAAAACCGAACTGTCAAAATATTTCAAGATGTCGTAGCGAAAACTTCGGAATATTGGAACCCATTAAAAAATAAATGAAGAATATAAAGAAAAGTTCTAATATCACCCGAGACCAAAAAAAACTCTCTCGTCCTATAAAAAAATATTTGAATATTGCGAATGCAACGTCGAGTGGAATATAAAAACGCAGAGTCGGTATTAGTATTATTAAAACAAAATGCGTGCATATTCCAGCCATGTCTAACGGCCGTTGTTCTGCTACACGTGGTGGAGAAGTTGGAAGCAAAGTGCGATGTGTTTCTGTCTCTGCCTCTCAAAAAAGTCGTAAATTTCTCAAGAGCAATAGGGGCGAGCATATATAAATAATTCATCAAAATAAAAAAGAAGAAGGAAACAAAGAGACCGGGTAAATCAGTGTGCGTTATGCTTCTCAACTTTATGCAAAGAATGAAGGAAAGCTTTTACTCCCTATTGAAAAATTCGGCAAAAACTTTCAGTGACATTCGGTGGAAACGGGTTAATTTCCACTCATTTTCACCATAAACCAGCGTAGTTTACCAGTTTCTTGGTGGAAATATTACCGGCTGCCACTTCCAGTAACCAGATTTCGCTGGACCTTTTACCGGAGCCACTTACGGTAAAAATCCGGCAAAAACTTCCCTTGAAATTCGGCGGAAACGGGTTAATTTCCACTCATTTTCACCAGAAACCAGCGTAGTCACTTTCGCTGGAAGTTATACCAGAACCACTTTCGATTACCCACCGCTGAAATCCTACCGGAAGCCACTCTCGTTTGCCGGACACCGAACATCACTGGAAGCCGACGCAAGGGGAACGGCTAAAGTCAAGGAAGCCAAGAAGAGCAGGGGGACTGTGTTTGTAATGGCGGCCGCCAATGCAGCGGCATTCTCGTGAGTGCGTGTTTTAGCTCGAAACGACGTTGCAATTCTGCAAGAAATGCGACCAGCGAATTGTTTTGACGATCCATAAAGGTGGGCAGCGATCACCGGCAACTTGATATTTGCGACAGGCAAACGTCTGGGCCAGAGCAGGTACGAGACCACTCGAGCGGCATTCTCGTGAGTGCGAGTTTTAGCTCGGGACGACGTTGCAATCCTCAATAAGTGCGTGCAGCGAACTGTTTTGACGATCCAAAAAGGAGTGCACTTTCACCCCTTTTCATTCGAAACCATTTTACCAGTTTTGGTAGATTATTGGCCGGCAAACAAATTTCACTGGAATGCCACCGGCAGCCCCTTTCGTATACCATGCAGACGACCCGGTTTTCCTATAAATCTTACCCGAAACGGGTGACTCGCTTCCCTGTTTACCGACCTTCACTTGAAGCCGACGCGAGGGGAGGGGGAAGCCGCGACGAGCCGGCAACTGGGTGTGTACTATGGTGCCTCGCACCAAGGACGAGTCCCCACGCACCCTCTCCCTCGCATTGGGTTCGTGGGGAAAATGCAAGAGGGTCGTTCTGCTGACTTATTTTGATTTTCTTTTTTCTTTGAAGACAACCGGTTTCTTTGTCCGTCAACGAGCAACGGCCGGTCAGAAACGAACACTCAGTCTCGGCTTCGCGTTCTATGTGTTGCGACCTGTATCTTCCAAAGCAGCAGGGTGTGTAGATGAAAAGAATATTTTTCAGTGACCTTTTTCTTACGCCTCTTTGTCCGTCCGTCTTCAGAAGCATCCAGCGAGCGAAAAAGACTGAGCCCAAGATTTCTCAACGTCGGCGGATTTTCGTTTCGCGCGTTCGTGGTTTTCGCTAACCGTGCTACTGACGCCTGGTGCACCCGCGAGAACGGCATCAGGGACGACATTGTGAGTGTGTGCGGGATTTCTCAACGGCGGCTGATGTTCGCTCCGCGCGTTCGTGGTTTTCGCTAACCGTGCTACTGACGCCTGGTGCACCCGCGAGAACGGCATCAGGGACGACATCGTGAGTGTGCCCGGGATTTCTCAACGGCGGCTGATGTTCGCTCCGCGCGTTCGTGGTTTTCGCTAAGCGTGTTACTGACGCCTGGTGCACCCGCGGCGACGGCATCAGGGACGACATCGTGAGCGTGCCCGGGACTTCTCAACGGCGGCAGATGTTCGCTCCGGCGCGTTCGTGGTTTTCGCTAAGCGTGTTACTGACGCCTGGTGCACCCGCGGCGACGGCATCAGGGACGACATCGTGAGTGTGTCCGGGATTTCTCAACGGCGGCTGATGTTCGCTCCGGCGCGTTCGTGGTTTTCGCTAAGCGTGTTACTGACGCCTGGTGCACCCGCGGCGACGGCATCAGGGACGACATCGTGAGTGTGCCCGGGATTTCTCAACGGCGGCAGATGTTCGCTCCGGCGCGTTCGTGGTTTTCGCTAAGCGTGTTACTGATGCCTGGTGCACCCGCGGCGATGGCATCAGGGACGACATCGTGAGTGTGCCCGGGATTTCTCAACGGCGGCTGATGTTCGCTCCGCACGTTCGTGGTTTTCGCTAAACGTGCTGCTGACAGTATACCTGTGTATGTCCGTGTGCGCGGTTTTATTAGTTGAACTACCGTGCGCCTAGGACTTTACCCAGCGGCATTGTGAGTACCTTGAAAGATATCTTTTGCGACAAAGAACTTGCATGGTTGTTCCTATTTGGTCTGGTTGCTTTTGTCTACTGCTGTGCAAATTGTTTTACTGGTATGGACCCTGTTAAATAAACACATAGAACCTTCAAGTCTATATGGACTAACCACTTTAATTGTTACCGAATCGTCCAGCATCTGGTAAAGATAACCAACCACGTTTCACAGGATTCATCCTAAGTGCCTTCCGTTGACGTCCGAAAACAGAAAGAAAAACACGGTAAATTCCGGCCAATCTGGTGATGTTCTGGTAAATTATGGCTTTACTGGAAGTGAAAAGAGTCCCATAACCCAGTAAAATGGACGTTTCCTGGAAATAGACTCCCGGTAAAAATCTGGTGACATTCTGGTAAAATATCTGGTGGCATTCCGGTAAGAAGCCGGTAACATTCCTGTAAAACAACCGGTGAAATTCCAGTAACAGATCCGGCGGCATTCCGGTAAACTACGGCTTTACTAGCAGTAAAATTAGTCCCATAATCCAGTAAAAGAACCTTTTACTGGAAATGACATTCCGGTAAAAAAATATTTTTCAATAACGTACTGTCATTCTTTTCGGCGAACTCGATACCTTTCTCTGCCATTCGAAAGCTTTCAATAATTGGGGAGAAACTGCTGACGGGTGTATGTTTTAAAAATCAGAAACAATGTTTTGAAAAAAATATTTTTTACCGGAATGTCATTTCTAGTAAAAGTCTATTTTACTCGATTATGGGACTGTTTTCAATTCCAGTAAAGCTGCAGCTTACCGGAATGTCACCGGATTAGTACCGGAAGTATATTTCCAGTAAAAATCTATTTTACTGGAATATGGGACTCTTTTCACTTCCAGCAAAGCCAGAATTTGCCAGAAGATTACCAGATTGGCCGGAATTTACCGTGTTTTTCTTTCTTTTTTCGGACGTCAACGGAAGGCATTTAGGAGGAAGCCGGTGAACCGTGGTTGGTGTATGTTTACCAGATGCTGGACGATTCGCTAACAATTAAAGTGGTTAGTCCATATAGACCTGGAGGTTCTATGAATTTATTTCACAGAGCTGTAGGCAAAAGCAATCAGACCGAATGGGAACAACCAAGTCCTTTGCTGCAAAAGATGTCTTTCAAAGTACTCACAATGCCGCTGGGTAAGTTCCTAGACGCACGGTAGTTCAACTAACAAAACCGCGCAGGTTTTGTTTAGGACACACACACGTTTCCTGTCAGCAGCACATTTAGCGAAAACCGCGAACGCGCTGAGCGAGCGTCCGCCGCCGTTGAGAAATCCCGGGCACACTCATGATGTCCCTGATGCCGTCGCCGCGGGTGCACCGGGCGTCAGTAGCACGCTTAGCGAAAACCACGACCGCGCGGAGAGAACATCCGCCGTCATAGAGAAATCCCGGGCACACTCACGATGTCGTCCCTGATGCCGTCGCCGCGGGTGCACCGGGCGTCAGTAGCACGCTTAGCGAAAACCACGACCGCGTGGAACGAACATCCACCGCCGTAGAGAAATCCCGGGCACACTCACGATGTCGTCCCTGATGCGGTCGCCGCGGGTGCACCAGGCGTCAGTAGCACGCTTAGCGAAAACCACGACCGCGTGGAACGAACATCCACCGCCGTAGAGGAATTCTGGGCACACTCACGATGTCGTCCCTGATGCCGTCGCCGCGGGTGCACCTGCAGGCGTCAGTAGCGCGCTTCGCGAAAACAACGAATGCGCGAAACGAACATCCGCCGACGTTGAGAAATCTTGTGCAGTGTCTTT